GCTCCCCTCCCAGCCAGTGCAAGACTTGTTCTGCTCTAAGCAGAGCATGTGCTATTACTGTTGCCACCCATGGCACATGCCTGCTCTCTCCAGGAAGCTTTTCTTTTTGTGGTTTCTCAATGGGAAAGCAACAGATGCAGAATCTGAACTGCCGACTGCTTAGTGCAAGCCAGGGAACTTCATCCCAGAACCCTTGTGGTAAGCACAGGAACATGCATTTGACTTAAGCATGGCATCAGAGAAACATCTGGTCTTGACTGGGAGAATGCAAGAAGCTCCGTGGTTTGCACAATCACCACCTTCTCCTCCTTCAATCTGTGCCTGTTGCTCATTCAGATTTGTGCTTTTTAGTGGTGGAAGGAGGATGGAGGTGAGTTGGGTTGATGAGTGTGGGGAGGGATTTTGGATGCTGTGGTAGCTGTACAGCACAGGGGAATCAGTGGGCTCTGTGAGCTGGAAGGTGACATGTCTGCAGGCCGTGTTCGAGTGGGGTCGAGGTAGCTTAGAGAGGGTGATGGAGCTGAGCTTGCTGGAAAGCTCCTGTGATGCTGGTTGTGCTCTCTTGCTGTAAAAACCCAGGCTTAAGGTGGTGTGTCTCTGTCTCCAACAGGTTTGGAAAAGGTCTGGTGCATGGTTCTACAAAGGGCTGCCCAAGTACATCATGCCTTTGAAGAGCAGCAGCAAGTCCAGTGAGCTGCCCTCGCAGCCTTGGCAAAGCGAGCCAGCTGTGCTGGAGGCAGAGAGCATCGGGACCAGCCGATCCTTCACCTGGGCCAGGGGAAAAGGTTGGTCGTCTGCTCCGTGCCCAGGAAACAGGCAGGGGAGGAGAAGAGGACCTGTTGTTGTTAGCAGGATTCAGCTAATAGAGGAAGCCCTCTGTTAGAAGTAAAGGATTGCCAACAAGATGTGGTGTGTTTGCCATGCTGGCAGTGATGGGTTTTGTTGGCTATAGTATGTTTTTCAGGTTTCACTGTTATTTAAGCGCACATTGGTGGCCCAGACTGGCCCCAGTCCTTGAGGACTCCCTGTCCTTCAGTCCACCCTTGCTTTCCTGCGTTTCCTGCAGCCCCCGCTGTTTTGCTGGGACTGCCAAGGCAGGGATGAGCCATGAAGCAAGA